TGTGTGGGGTGGTGGGAGAGTGAGGATTGTGGTGGGGAGAGTGAGGATTGTGGTGGGGAGAGTGAGGATTGTGGGGTGGGAGAGTGAGATTGTGGTGGGAGAGTGAGGATTTGTGGGGAGAGTGAGGATTTGAGAGTGAGGATTGTGGTGGGGAGAGTGAGTTGAGGTAGGAAGAGTTGAGGATTGTGGTCAGAGTGAGGATTGTGGTGGGGAGAGTGAGGATTGAGAGTTGAGGATTGTGGTGGGGAAAGTGAGGTAGGTGAGGATTGTGGTGGTGAGAGTGAGGATTGTGGTGGTGAGAGTGAGGATTGTGGTGGGAGAGTGAGGATTGTGGGATTGAGGATTGTGGTGGTGAAAGTGAGGATTGTGGTGGTGAGAGTGAGGATTGTGGTAGTGATAGTGAGGATTATGGTGGTGATAGTGAGGATTGTGGTGGTTGTGGTGATGATAGCGGTGGTGTTGGTGGTGGTGATAATTATGATAATCGTCATCTCCACCACTGAAGAAAAGGTGTGAATGCGAATGAATATCTTAACAATACAAGAGATGTATTTGACTGGTTTCGATTATATCTTCGTCGGAAATGCGTGTATTTCTGACGATCTAATCGAAACCGGTCAGATACATCTCTTGTATTGTTAAGATATTCATTCTCATTCATACCTCTTCTATATTTGTTTATATGAATACGGTTCATCTCCACCATCGCCATTCTCATAACCATTCAAAACTTTACATCCCTCATCATCCTCACAGCCTCATATGGCCTCAGGCACCTTGTTATCCCTTCGCACACCCTCATATACCCTCATACACTCTAAAAGCCGTGTAATACTGCGGTTCCCAGGTTGCCATATATTTTTACGCTCCCTCATACACTATCATATGCCCTTATATAACGTCGTACACCCTCATATATCCTCCTATATCCTCACACATCCTCTTGTACCCTCATACACCTTCAGAGACCTTTATATATCCCCAAACACCCTCATACACCCTACAGCCGTGTCCTATAGCTATTCCTCTGACCTCATATATCCTCATACACCCTCACTCACCTTCATACACCCTTATACATCCTCATACACCCTACAGCCGTGTGCTGCAGCAGTTCGCATGACGTCATATCCTCATACACGCTTATACACCCTCATTCACCTTCATATATACTCATAAACCAACATACACCCTTATATACCATCATATTAAATCATACACCCTAATACATCCTCATTCACCTTACAGCCGTGTACTAGAGCGATTCGCATGACGTCATATACCATCATACACCCTCATATCCCTTAATACACCTGAATACGCCCTCATACCCCCTAATACACCCTCACACCCCCAACTACACCTTCATACTCCCTAATACACCTAAATACACCTTCATACTCCCTAATATACCTAAATACACCTTCATACTCCCTAATACACCTAAATACACCTTCATACTCCCTAATACACCCTCATACTCCCTAATGCACCCTCATACTCCCTAATACACCCTCACACCCCCAACTACACCCTCATACTCCCTCATACACCCTAATAGACCTTGCTACACCCTACAGCCGTGTACTACAGCGGCTCGTATGACGTCTACATCTACACCCGCCACGTGCCCGAGCTCTCCCGCGTGGCACAGGCTGAGGACGGCGTGGTCTTCGGTGCCAACGTGTCAATCTCCCGCGTCATGCAGGAACTTGACACGGTGTCATCTGCGCGGGCTGGCTACGCCTACGCCAAGGAGCTGGTCAAGAACTGGCACCGCGTGGCGAGCACCTCCGTCCGCAATGTGGGTTTGTGGGGGTTTTGTGGGTGGTTTGGGGAGGGGGGGAGGGGTTTGGGGTTGGTTTGGGGGAAGGGAGGGGTAGGGGGTTTGGGGAGGGGTGGTTGGGGGGAGGGAGGGGTGGGGGTGGTGGGAGAGAGGGAGGAGTGGGGGTGGGGAGGGAGTGGGAGGGTGGGGGGATTGGGAGTGGGGGAGGGGGTTAGGGGGAAGGGGAGGGGAGGGGGTGGGGGAAGGGAGGGGGTAGGAGGTGTGGGTGGGGAGTGTGTGTGTGTGAAAGAGAGAGAGAGAGAAAGTATGAGTTTGTTGGTGAGTGTGGTTGAAAGGGCAAATTAAATGTATATTAATGGGATGAGTCTCATGATGAATGTGTGTGAGTGAATGAGGCTGATTGACTAAATGAGTGAGTGAGTGATGAGTGTAATTAGTTTGCTGTGTGGGTTATTTATTACATGTGAACTGAGAAGAAGAGTAAATGTGAGTAAATGAATGTAAATGAAATATGAATGATATGATATGAGTGGATGAGTAAAACTCCTTAGAATAATGATAATGATAAAGAAATTTTAAAAAGGAAGAAATATAACAAAAGGGAATAATATACTATTTGGTTATTCATTCTTTCTTTTATACTTCCATGTCATCTTTCGTCAGATTAATATTTTTCCCCCATTTTGTATTTCATTATTTTTGGTATTTCCTTTTCCCTTCTCTATTTTCATTTCCCATTTCATTTTCCTTAAATTTTCCCTTCTATTTTTCTCAAATTCCTATTTCTTTATTTGTTTTTGTTATTTCCTTTTCCCTTCTCTTTTTCTTCCCTATTTCCCCATTTCATTATTTGTATTACCTTTTCCCTTCTGTTTTCCCCCGTTTCCTATTCCATTATGTTTTATTGTCTTTTTCATTCTTTTATTCCACATTTCCCATTTTATTATTTTTTGCTCTATTTTCCCTTCTCATTTTTCATTACATTATGTTTTATTGTCTTTTTCATTCTTTTATTCCACATTTCCTATTTTATTATTTTTTATTTCATTCCCCTTCTATTCCCCATATCTTATTTCATTATTTTTTATTTCATTTTTCCTACTCTTTTTCCCCCATTTCCCTTTTCATTATTTTTATTTCATTTTCCTTCTTTTATTCCCCATTCCCCATTCATTATTCATTCTTTGGATTTCCTTTTCCCTTCTCATTTTCCTCATTTCTTATTTCATTGTATTTTTATTTCATTTTCTAATTTTCGCCATTTCCTATTTCATTGTATTTTTATTTCATGTTCCCTTCTAATGTTCCCCATTTCCTATTTCCTTATATTTTAATTTCATTTTCTCCATTTCCTATTTCCTTATATTTTTATATCATTTTCCTTTCTCATTTTCTCCATTTCCGATTACATTATATTTTTGTTTCATCTTTCCTTCTCATTTTTCCATTTCCGATTATATTATTTTTTTGTTTCATCTTTCCTTCTCATTTTTCCATTTCCGATTATATTATTTTTTTGTTTCATCTTTCCTTCTCATTTTTCCCATTTCCGATTCCATTATATTTTTTTCATCTTTCCTTCTCATTTTTTCCATTTCCGATTTTTTTTCCATTATTTCCGATTCCATTATTTTTATTCCCTTCTCCCTTTCCGATTCCATTCCCCTCTCATTTTTTCCGATTCCAATTTTTATTCCATTTCCCCGTTTCATTCATTATTTTTATTCCCTTCTCCCTCTCATTTCCCCCATTTCCGATTCCATTATTTTTATTCCCTTCATTTCCATTTCCGATTCCATTATTTTTTTCCCTTCTCCTCCTCATTTCCCATTCGATGATTCCATTGTTTTTTATTCCCTTCTCCCTCCTCATTTCCCCATTTCCGATTCCATTATTTTTATTCCCTTCTTCCTCCTCATTTCCCCATTTCCGATTCCATTGTTTTTATTCCCTTCTCCCTCCTCATTTCCCCATTTCCGATTCCATTATTTTTATTCATTTCCCCATTTCGATTCCATTATTTTTTTCCTTTCTCCCTCCTCATTTCCCTTTCGATTCCATATTTTTATTCCTTCTCCTCATTCCCCATTTCCGATTCCATTATTTTATTCCCTTCTCCCCTCATTTCCCCATTTTCGATTCCATTATTTTTTCCCTTCTCCCTCCTCATTTCCCCATTTCGATTCCATTATTTTTATTCCCTTCTCCTCCTCATTTCCCCATTTCGATTCCATTATTTTTATTCCCTTCTCCCTCCTCATTTCCCCATTTCCGATTCCATTATTTTTATTCCCTTCTCCCTCCTCATTTCCCCATTTCCGATTCCATTATTTTTATTCCCTTCTCCCTCCTCATTTCCCCATTTCCGATTTCCATTATTTTATTCCCTTCTCCTCCTCATTTCCCCATTTCCGATTCCATTACCTTCTCCTCCTCAATTTCCCCATTTCCGATTCCATTATTTTTATTCCCTTCTCCCTCCTCATTTCCCCATTTTTCCGATTCCATTATTTTTATTCCCTTCTCCCTCTCATTTCCCCTTTCCCGATTCCATTGTTTTATTCCCTTCTCCCTCCTCATTTCCCCATTTCCGATTCCATTATTTTTATTCCCTTCTCCCTCCTCATTTCCCCATTTCGATTCCATTATTTTTATATCCTTCTCCCTCCTCATTTCCCCATTTCGTTTCCATTATTTTATTCCCTTCTCCCTCCTCATTTCCCCGTTTCCGATTCCATTGTTTTTATTCCCTTCTCCCTCCTCATTTCCCCATTTCCGATTCCATTATTTTTTTTCCCTTCTCCCTCCTCATTTCCCCATTTCCGATTCCATTATTTTTATTCCCTTCTCCCTCCTCATTTCCCCATTTCCGATTCCATTATTTTTATTCCCTTCTCCCTCCTCATTTCCCCATTTCCCGATTCCATTTTTTTTTATTCCCTTCTCCCTCCTCATTTCCCCATTTCCGATTCCATTATTTTTATTCCCTTCTCCCTCCTCATTTCCCCCATTTCGATTCCATTATTTTTGTTCCCTTCTCCCTCCTCATTTCCCATTTCCGATTCCATTATTTTTATTCCCTTCTCCCTCCTCATTTCCCCATTTCCGATTCCATTATTTTTATTCCCTTCTCCCTCCTCATTTCCCCATTTTCGATTCCATTATTTTTATTCCCTTCTCCCTCCTCATTCCCCATTTCCGATTCCATTATTTTTATTCCTTCCTCATTTCCCCATTCCGATTCCATTATTTTTATTCCCTTCTCCCTCCCTCATTTCCCCATTTCCGATTCATTATTTTTATTCCCTTCTCCCTCCTCATTTCCCCATTTTCGATTCCATTATTTTTATTCCCTTCTCCCTCCTCATTTCCCCGTTTCCGATTCCATTGTTTTTATTCCCTTCTCCCTCCTCATTTCCCCATTTCCGATTCCATTTATTTTTATTTCCCTTCTCCCTCCTCATTTCCCCATTTCCGATTCCATTATTTTTATTCCCTTCTCCCTCCTCATTTCCCCATTTCCGATTCCATTATTTTATTTCTCCCTCCCTCATTTCTTCCGAATTTTATTTTATTCCCTTCTCCTCCTCATTTCCCCATTTCCGATTCCATTATTTTTATTCCCTTCTCCCTCCTCATTTCCCCATTTTCGATTCCATTATTTTTATTCCCTTCTCCCTCCTCATTTCCCCATTTCCGATTCCATTATTTTTATTCCCTTCTCCCTCCTCATTTCCCCATTTCCGATTCCATTATTTTTATTCCCTTCTCCCTCCTCATTTCCCCATTTTCCGATTCCATTATTTTTATTCCCTTCTCCCTCCTCATTTCCCCATTTCGATTCCATTATTTTATTCCCTTCTCCCTCCTCATTTCCCCATTTCCGATTCCATTATTTTTATTCCCTTCTCCCTCCTCATTTCCCCATTTCCGATTCCATTATTTTGTTCCCTTCTCCCCTCCTCATTTCCCCATTTCCGATTCCATTATTTTTATTCCCTTCTCCCTCCTCATTTCCCCATTTCCGATTCCATTATTTTTATTCCCTTCTCCCTCCTCATTTCCCCATTTCCGATTCCATTATTTTTATTCCCTTCTCCCTCCTCATTCCCCATTTCCGATTCCATTTTTTATTCCCTTCTCCCTCCTCATTTCCCCATTTCCGATTCCATTATTTTTATTCCCTTCTTCTCCCTTATTCCATTATTTCCCATTTCCCATTTCCGATTCCATTAATTTTATTCCCTTCTCCCTCCTCATTTCCCCATTTCCGATTCCATTATTTTTATTCCTTCTCCCTCCTCATTTCCCCATTTCCCGATTCCATTATTTTTTTCCCTTCTCCCTCCTCATTTCCCATTTCCGATTCCATTATTTTTATTCCCTTTCCCTCCTCATTTCCCCATTTCCGATTCCATTTTTTTTTATTCCCTTCTCCCTCCTCATTTCCCCATTTCAGATTCCATTATTTTATTCCTTCTCCCTCCTCATTTCCCCATTTTCCCCTTCTCCCTCTCATTTCCCCATTTCCGATTCCATTATTTTTATTCCCTTCTCCCTCCTCATTCCCCATTTCCGATTCCATTATTTTTATTCCCTTCTCCCTCCTCATTTCCCCATTTCCGATTCCATTATTTTTTTCCCTTCTCCCTCCTCATTTCCCCATTTCCGATTCCATTATTTTTTTCCCTTCTCCCTCCTCATTTCCCCATTTCCGATTCCATTATTTTTATTCCCTTCTCCCTCCTCATTTCCCCATTTCCGATTCCATTATTTTATTCCCTTCTCCCTCCTCATTTCCCCATTTCCGATTCCATTATTTTTATTCCCTTCTCCCTCCTCATTTCCCCATTTCCGATTCCATTATTTTTTATTCCCTTCTCCCTCCTCATTTCCCCATTTCGATTCCATTATTTTTATTCCCTTCTCCCTCCTCATTTCCCCATTTCCGATTCCATTATTTTTATTCCCTTCTCCCTCCTCATTTCCCCATTTTTCCGATTCCATTATTTTTATTCCCTTCTCCTCCTCATTTCCCCATTTCCGATTCCATTATTTTTATTCCCTTCTCCCTCCTCATTTCCCCATTTCCGATTCCATTATTTTTATTCCCTTCTCCCTCCTCATTTCCCCATTTCCGATTTCCATTATGTTTCCTTATTTTTATTCCCTTCTCCCTCCTCATTTCCCCATTTCCGATTCCATTATTTTTATTTCCCTTCATTTCCCTTTCCGATCCATTATTCCCTTCTCCCTCCTCATTTCCGATTCCATTTTTTTATTCCCTTCTCCTCCTCATTTCCCCATTTTCCGATTCCATTATTTTTATTCCCTTCTCCTCCTCATTTCCCCATTTCCGATTCCATTATTTTTATTCCCTTCTCCCTCCTCATTTCCCATTTCCGATTCCATTATTTTTTATTCCCTTCTCCCTCCTCATTTCCCATTTCCGATTCCATTATTTTTATTCCCTTCTCCCTCCTCATTTCCCATTTCCGATTCCATTATTTTTATTCCCTTCTCCCCTCATTTCCCCATTTCCGATTCCATTATTTTTATTCCCTTCTCCCTCCTCATTTCCCCATTTATTCATTTCCCTTCATTTCCCCATTTCCGTTTCCATTATTTTTATTCCCTTCTCCCTCCTCATTTCCCCATTCCGATTCCATTATTTTTATTCCCTTCTCCCTCCTCATTTCCATTCCGATTCCATTATTTTTGTTCCCTTCTCCCTCCTCATTTCCCCATTTCCGATTCCATTATTTTTATTCCCTTCTCCCTCCTAATTTCCCCATTTCAGATTCCATTGTTTTTATTCCCTTCTCCCTCCTCATTTCCCCATTTCCGATTCCATTATTTTTGTTCCCTTCTCCCTCCTCATTTCCCCATTTCCGATTCCATTATTTTTATTCCCTTCTCCCTCCTCACAGCTGGGCTCCTGGGCGGGCAACCTCGGATTGAAATTAACTCACAAGGAATTCCCATCGGATATTTTTATCAATCTCTTGGGCGCTGGTGCTGTTGTAACGACAGGTAATTCATTTGTTTTTTGTTGTTTTGTTTTGGTTATGGTTTATTTGTTTGTGTTCTATTGTCTATGTCGTTTATCTGTTTGTGTTTTATTGTTTATATCGTTTATTTGTGTGTGTTTTATTGCTTCTGGCGTCAATTTTTCTTGTTTTGTAACTACATTTTTATGTTTTTTTGTTTGTCTTTACTGTTCTGCTTTGATTGTTTATAACTATAGGTACTTTGTTTGCTTAATTCATTCATTTACTTGTTTGTGAGTTGTACTGTTTGCTGTTTTCTTTGTGTAATTATAATTTGTTTTACAGTTTTATCATATTTTTTCGTATCGTAACTGTAGACAGGTTATGTATGTAAATTGCCTAACTCATTTGTTCATTATAAAGTTTTTTGTTAGGAAAAGTATGCCTGCCTTTTTTTTTCAGAGAGAAACAAACAAACAGGCAGACAGGTAGACAGACAGAAGCAAAGACATGAAGAGAAAGATATTGATTAACTTAAAGGAAAGAAAAGAGACGGGGAGCTATAAAAATAATAAATTTAATTAAAAACAAACAAAGATACAAAGAACTAAAAAAAGGGAAACAAATGCAAAGGAAAACGAAGACATGGACAGAAAAAAGGAAAGATAAAATGCAAAGAAAAACAAAAAGATAGAAAACCAAATAAATATATTACAAATAAAAACAAAGAGATGAAGAACTAAAAGAAAAAAAAATGATTATCAAAATGAGTAAATTATCTTAACCTTGCATCACTCAGCTCTCCCTACCGGGTCGACCTCGACTCACACCCTCGAGGAACTGCTCAACCTCGACCTTCAGAAGGAGCGTCGAGTGATCCTTGAAATGCGTCTTCCTCCCATGCCTGACGACGTCGACTTCAGAGTCTTCAAGGTTAGTGAGAGAGAGAGAGAGAGAGAGAGAGAAGAGAGAGAGAGAGAGAGAGAGAGAGAGAGAGAGAGAGAGAGAGAGAGAGAGAGAGAGAGAGAGAGAGAGAGAGAGAGAAAGAAAGAAAGAAGACATAAAGAGAGTGTGAAAATAAGTGTGAGCATGTGTGTGTGTGTGTCTGTCTGTTTATATACTAATCAATATGTACTTATATATCCACACGTACATATACACACAAACAGTAGCGTAGATAGGAAATTCAAAAGGGGGGGTGTGCGAAAGTCAATAGATTTTCCGACAAAATTATTGCTTTCTTTTACAAAATTCATTAGCGAACATTTGAACCAACATATTTTACTTAAGTTTTTACCAGTGGAATTCTGGAATGCCATGTAAAATGTAAACCTTTCGGTATGCATACTGCGGTAAAGCATTTGGAAATAAGATAATTGATCAATATCTAATTTAAATCGCTAAATATAAACAAACACACACAAGAAAATAAACTGCCGTCACATTTTCCAACAAGGATTGAAATTTTTCGACAAAACCAACTTCTTACTTGAGTGGGGTTGGCAACCCTCCCCTCCCCTGCCCCCCAATCTATCTACGCCACTGCAAACACAAACATACATACATACAAAAGTACAAAACTAATACTGCTCATCATACATCAATACCCCGTCCTCCCCTCTCTCTCTCTCCCCTCACAGACGCATAAATATCCTTCACTTGATCTAATTCCCTTACCTAAACCAGCATAACCATTACACTAGAGAGCTGACGCATAGCAACTATCACCTGCCATCACCCTTTACTATACCTTCCTATAGTGCTATATGACCTTAGATATCTACCACATTTATTTCGCTTTTAACCATTAACCAGTAACCAAAATCCTTCATTTGATCTAACCTTCCTTTATCCTTAACCCTTCCTCCATTAATCAATAGCCATCCCACCCCATTTACCCCGTATTTCTACTCCTTTAATTACTTTACTATAATAAAACATGCCCTTTAGAATATGACATTTTAATTCTAACAAAGAACTTTTATAAAACCCTCCCAATACAATACCATAGTACTATATGACCTTTGATGTCTAGCACAATGTCTAGCACATTTATTTTCTTCTGTGTTATTATTACTTACTTCTCTCCCCTCAGGTGATGGGACGCTGGACCAACACCCACGCCTTCGTCAACGCTGCCATGGCCTTCCGAGTAGACAAGGCCAACGCCCACACTTTGGTCGAGAAGCCGCTCATCGCCTTCGGAGGAATCAACCCGACGTTTGTGAGTCATTTTTAGCTGAATTTGGGTTGATAGGACGATGGGCTTGGCTGGTAGATAGATGGGTGGCGTCAATTAGCAGATAGATGGTAGATGGGTGTGTGATTTTTGGATGAATTTGATTGATAGATTGGTAGGTTGGTAGATGGATATAAGTGATAATGATAATGCCACTACACGTGTCTCTCCTGCAGGTGCGTGCCTCGGCTACGGAGGCGGCGCTGGAGGGCAAGAGCCTGGAGGATGAGGGAGTCCTGCAGGCGGCCATGCAAGCTCTGGCCGCCGAGATCAAGCCCGACAACCTACCTCAGGATCCCTCGCCAGAGTACAGGCTGTCGGTCGCCCAAACTCTGCTCTATAAGGTAAGGAAGGATTTTTAGGATAAAGGATTGTATTCGGGTCAGTTGAATTGATATATTTGCCATTGTGATTTCCTTCTTAATCGATTTCCGAAACGAATAGTCGTTTCCATTCGATTCAATGCGCTCTTAGTTAAGTTATCCCTAATATAACGTCGTCCATTTCGCTTCATGTGAGATAGGGATAACTAAACTAAACTAAACTACTTTTCCTTACCCTCACGACTTGCAGATGGTCCTGGGGATCTTAGGAAATGCCGCCTCGAGCACAGTGACCAGCGGAGCCACTGACCTAGAACGACCTGAATCGAGTGGCCAGCAAGAGTACGACCAGAACACCGAGACTTGGCCCCTGGGTCAGCCCATCCCCAAGCTGGAGGCTCGGATGCAGTGTGCCGGTGTGTGCAGGTTTTTGCTTTTTTGTTATTCTTATTGTTATTATTGTTGTTATTGTTATTATTTTTAATACTTTTTTATTATTGTTCTTATTCTTTGTTCTATTAATACTATTATTATTGTTATTATTCATATCGTTATTACTATTATTAATATCATTAATATTATAATTGATGTTATTATTACTACTCCTACCATTACAACTACTACTACAACTACTACTACTCCTACTATTACAACTACAACTACTACCACTACCACTACTGTTACTACTTCTACTCCTACAATTACAACTACTACTACTACTACTACTACTACTACTACTACTACTACTACTACTACTACTACTACTACTACTACTACTACTACTACTCCTACTCCTACTCCTACTCCTACTCCTACTCCTACTACTCCTACTACTCCTACTATTACAACTACTGCTACTACTACTCCTACTATTCCTACTATTACAACTACTACTCCTACTATTACAACTACTACTACGACCACTACCACTATTACTACTACTGCTATTACTGTTATGTATTTTACCTCCTTATTGGATAATGGAATTAGTATTGTTTCTTGCTCTCTCTATTTGACATCGTTCTTCTATCTACATATACAATGCTCAGAATGTGTATGAATACATTTTCTGCGTTTAGATAATGGTAAAGAAATACAAAATGAACTTAATTTCCAAAGAGAGCTAAGGGAGAGTGAACACATTTGCAAGTAACAGTAATAATGGTAATAGTAATGGTATTAATGTCAGTAATAAATGGGTATGATGAAATCTTACAATAATGGCAACAGTAATGACAATTGCTGTAATAATAACGATAACCCTAATAATAATAGTAATGATAATAATAATAATAATAATAATAAACATAACATAACAATAATAGTAGTATAATAAAATATATTACTAACGGTAATGATAATAAAAATAGATACAGTAATGTTGACAGGAATTAATAACAAAAATAATTGTGATGATAATGACAATAAGAAGGAAAATTGTAATAACAATAAAGATAATACTGATAATAGATATTTCTAAAAAATAATAGTAATAATAATGATGATAAATGACAATAAGAAATCAAATCATAATAACAAGAAAGATAATACTGATACTAGATATTTTTAAAGTAAAAATTATAGCAATAATAACAATGATAATAATAAGAAGAACGAAAATCATAATGACAATAAAGATAATACTGATAATAGATATTAGAAAAAAAATAGTAATAATAATAATGATAAATGACAATAAGAACGAAAATTATAACATCAACAAAGATAATACTGAAAACAGGCGAGGCCGAATACGTGAACACAATGGCGCCCGTTAGTGAGGAGCTTTTCGGAATGTTCGTGACGTCGACGCAAGCCAACGCCAGCATCGTCAGCGTCGACCCTTCGGACGCGCTTGTGAGTGGAGAGGTGTTCGGTTTTCCTTTTTTTCGCGTATTTTTTCGTTTTTTTCTCGTTTTCTTTTTCTTTTTCTTATTTTAGTTTTTTTTCTCATTTCCTTTTCTTTCTTTTTTTCTTTCATTTAGCTCATTTTTTATTTTCTTTTTTTCTTTCCTTTTACTCATTTTTTTCTTTTTTCTTCTTTATCTTCATCCTTTTTTTCTTTTTTTTCTTTTTACTTTTCGTTTCCTTTTTTTTATTTCTTCTTTTTCTTCTTCCCTATCTTCACCTTCTTCCATATCCTCTTCTTTTTTCTCCTTTCTCATTTTTCTTTTTCGTGGATTGGGTGGGTGGAAATGTCCTCTTTATGTTTTTTTTGTGTCTTTGGGAACGTGAGACAATTTTTTGTTGTGGATATATGCCCAAAAATAGACCAGAATTTATATCTGTAGGTACTGTGTATATAATGTATAGGTGTAGATAAATATATAAACATTCATGTGTATCTTTATTATGTATATACGTTAGGGACGGCGATGAGCCAGACTGAGAAGGGAGAACGATTACCTTCTGGCTACTTCTGCCTTCACGCATTTCCTTCTTAAAAGATGTTATGATATGCTCTCACATGGAATTTTATTTTGCCTTCGTCCCCAGGCTATGCCCGATGTGGTGGCGTTCGTGGGCGTGGATGACATTAAAGGTGTCAACAACATTATGGCATTTGGATGGCCTTTGCCGCAGAAGGTAAGGCAGCCATTTTGAATTTGCTTGGAGGATTTTGTTTTGCTATTGTCAAGTTTGTGTGTGTGTGCATGTAATATTGTTTATTTTGCTTTTCGCTGTTATGACTGTTCTTTTTTTTTCTTTCTTTTTTTCCCTTTATTCTCGTTTTCTTTCTTTGGCCTTCTCTCTCGCCGTTGGGGGTAACTTCACTAAATAAACCAAATCTCCCTCTTCCTTCCCCTTCCCTTTCCCCTCCCTCTTCCTTCCCCTTCCCCTTCCCCTTCCCCTTCCCCTCTCTCTTCCTTCCCCTTTCCCTTCCCCTTCCCCTCCCTCTTCCTTCCCCTTCCCCTTCCCATCCCTCTTTCTCTTTCACTCTTACCCACCGTCTCTCTCTCATCGCGCAGCTCTTCCCGAGCAATCGAGTGTCCTACTACGGGCAGCCCATTGGCCTTATAGTCACCAAGAACAGGGGAGCGGCCTACGGTGCTCGCGAGGCTGTCAAAGTCACTTACGACGACATTCAGCCGCCCGTGCTTACCATTGAGGACGCCCTGCAGAAGCATCCCATTCAGGGACCTCCTTTCAAACAGGGGGACGTGGAAGGTAAACTGGGAGAGGGTGTGCTTCATCTAGGGGAGGGTGTGGTTGTGATTGAGCCACATCCTTTCTCTTTCTTTCTTTCTTTTTTTGAAGGTGATGCTTTGGGAGTTTTTTTATGGTGGTGATGCCCTTAAAGTTTTTTTTTTTTTTTTTTTTTTTTTTTAGGATTTCATTGTTTCCTTTTCTTTTGGGGGGTAACAGTCATATATTTTTTAACTTTGGATATAAAAAACAGTGATGATCCCTTGGATTTTTCTTGTGGATATTGAAGACTTTCTGTGATGATTTTCAAAAACATTTCCGTGCCGGCGATTTCATAACGTCATCAGCGTCCTCTGAAGGCGTTAGGATAGTCAAATAGTGTACGAAGATATGCATTTCTCATGACCTAAGCCTTCATACATTCTTTCTCGTTCTGCTTTCAGCTGGATTCGCTTCCTCGACGCACATCTTCGAAGGGGCCATGAGCCGGGACGGACAGTATCATTTCCACATGGAGTCGCAGGTACGGCCACGGCTTGAATTCTTTCTCTTCTTCCCATTTTCTTTGATCGATCGGTGGGGGGTAACTACACTAGATAAACATAGTATATATGTCTTCAGTCTTACTCGTTTTCTCTCTCTCTCTCTCTCTCTCTCTCTCTCTCTCTCTCTCTCTCTCTCTCTCTCTCTCTCTCTCTCTCTCTCTCTCTCTCTCTCTCTCTCTCTCTCTCTCTCTCTAATAATAAAAATCATAATAATGATAATAATAAATAAATAATTGAATAAGGATAAAGTGATTCTAGGTATTGGCATTAGGAATGTTTCGAAGCTTCTGTCAGTAACTGTACAAAACATGAGCACAGTTGTATATGGGGTAAATTAATCAAGAAAGTTAAGGCAGTTACAATTAAAAGAAAGAGGAATTATCTGTATTTAATGTATTTTTTATTGCTTTTCAATTTGAGATTATCATTATTAGCATTGCTTATTTCATTCATCTATTTTTCTCAATATTACTGTGTCTGTGTTTCAGTCCGATTCACAAACACTACAAATTGCAGTTTGTTGTAAAGGTCATCCCTTGCTATAAAGATTTTCGGACCTACCACAGTTACTACCATCAAAACTGTCTCTCTCTACCATACACAGACCTACCTTTGTCTCTCTCTACCATATACAGACCTACCAATGTCTCTCTCTATCATATACTATCATATACAGACCTACTACAGCTGTCATCTCCCACTAGCCCTACCAAACCCTCAACAACTACCCCTATCCACTGCTCTTTGTAAACCTACAATAACTACTACCGTCCCACTACCATTTGCAAAACTACCGCAACTACCACTTCCCACTACTCTGCAAACTTGCCACAACTACCACTTTCTATTTCTCTTTACTAACCCACCACAAATACCACCTCCCACTACTCTTTTACAAACCTACCACAGCTACCACTTCCCACTACCACTTGCAAACCTACCGCAACCCCCTCTTCTCGGCCTTTTACATACCTGCCACCACTAACTCTGACCCCAAACCCTTCCCAACTCTTGATACCATTCCCATCCCTACCCCACATAGTCTTGCCTGGTCGTGCCCACTGACATCGGCCTCGACGTCTTTGCCTCGACCCAGTGGGCTTCGGAGACACAGCGCGTCATCGGCAAAGTGCTGGGCATTCCGGATAACACGTGAGTCGAGCACAACGCAAAAACACAAAGCAAACAAGAACATGGTAGTAAAAGCACATCATCAAACAGACAAAGACAAACAAAAACAAAAACGCATCTTTAAACAACAAAAAAACAAAAAACACATAATGAAAACAAACAGACAAACCAAATACGAAACTCCATCCTACAAAAAAAAAAATATTTTATATAATGAAATAAAAAGATAAAAAAAAAGATCAACGCATCCCCGTCCCAATCTCTCCCCCCCCTCCCCAACCCCTCCCCCGATCCCGCCTGACCTCAACGTAACGGTCAAGCGGGGGGCGGGGCTTTCGGCGCCAAGATCGACCAGTGCAACCTCGTGACGGCGGCGGCGGCGGTGGCGGCGCAGAAGGTCCGGAAACCCGTGCGCGTTGCCCTCGACCTGGACGCCAATATGACCGCCATCGGGTGGAGGGAGCCGTACCTGTGCACTTACAAGGTGGGACGTTTGGGGGTTTGGTTAGGGTTGTTGTTGTTGTGGTTGGTGTTTGTTATTATTATTGTTATTGTTGTTTTGCAATTATTATTGTTTTTTAAATTCTTAATTTTTATTTTTTTACCATCCTACTTTTCGCGTTTCTTTTAGTTTTCATTTTTCTTTCTTTTGTATTGCTTTTCCGTCCCACTTTCCGCATTTTTTGAAGTTCCTTTTTTATTTAGAAATTTCTTTCCCATTCCACCTTTCACGTTTCTTTTTATATTATTTCTTTACTTTGAAATTTCTTGACCATCCCACTTTCCACATTTTATTGAAGTTTTTTTTCTTGACATTTCTTTCCCATCCCACGTTTCTCATTTTTATTAGTTTAATTTTTTCTNCCCTCCCCAACCCCTCCCCCGATCCCGCCTGACCTGACCCAGCATCAACGTAACGGTCAAGCGGGTGGGCGGGGCTTTCGGCGCCAAGATCGACCAGTGCAACCTCGTGACGGCGGCGGCGGCGGTGGCGGCGCAGAAGGTCCGGAAACCCGTGCGCGTTGCCCTCGACCTGGACGCCAATATGACCGCCATCGGGTGGAGGGAGCCGTACCTGTGCACTTACAAGGTGGGACGTTTGGGGGTTTGGTTAGGGTTGTTGTTGTTGTGGTTGGTGTTTGTTATTATTATTGTTATTGTTGTTTTGCAATTATTATTGTTTTTTAAATTCTTAATTTTTATTTTTTTACCATCCTACTTTTCGCGTTTCTTTTAGTTTTCATTTTTCTTTCTTTTGTATTGCTTTTCCGTCCCACTTTCCGCATTTTTTGAAGTTCCTTTTTTATTTAGAAATTTCTTTCCCATTCCACCTTTCACGTTTCTTTTTATATTATTTCTTTACTTTGAAATTTCTTGACCATCCCACTTTCCACATTTTATTGAAGTTTTTTTTCTTGACATTTCTTTCCCATCCCACGTTTCTCATTTTTATTAGTTTAATTTTTTCTTGTTCAGAAATATCTTTCCCATCCCACTTTTTTCGCGCTTCTTTGAATTTCCAACTTTTTAAAATCTTATATCTTTGTTTTTTATTCTTTGTTTTGTTTTGTTTTATTTCTTTCCCGTCCCACTTTTAGCATTTCTCTGAATCCCATTTTTTCTTATTCAGAAATTTCTCTCCCATCACTTTTTTTTTTTTTTTTTTTTTTTTTTTTTTTTTTACTTCCAGCTTTTTTAATCCAATCCTCCTACCCTCCTTTGTTTGTTTGTTCATCTCTTTCCTTCCTCCTGCAGGTTGGGGTCAACGACGACGGGATCCTGCAGGCCATTCAGGCGACGCTGACCTGCGACTCCGGGTACGTGGCGGTGGACACGACTAGCCCTGGCGCCGTGACCTGTATGACCTCGTGTTACAACTGCCCTAACTGGAAGGTCACGCCCCAGATCGTCCTCACCAACACAGCCTGCAATACGTGGTGTCGTACGCCCGGTAAGTCTGGGTTGGGGGGGGGTTGGTAAGGGGGAGGGGAGGGGGAGGGGAGGGGGGTAAGATGGGGATTTGGTTGGGGGTTGGTAAGAGGGGGGGGAGGTTGTTGGTTTGTTTCTCTGTGTATTTTGTATTTATTTTTTGTTTTACATTGTTGATTTTCTGATTTCTGTTCGTCCTCCTCTTACTTCTTCTCATCACCATTATTAAGCTCGTCCTATTCTTCATTTCTTCCATCTCCTTCATCTTCTCCTGCTTCTCCCACTCCTGTTCTTCTTCCTCCTCCTTTTCTTCCATTTGCTCCTCCTGTTCCTCTTCCTCCCCCTATTCCTCTACTTCTTTCTCCTTCTCCTTTATCAATATTTTTCTACTCCTCCTCCTCCTCCTCCTCCTCCTCCTCCTGTTCTCCCACCTCCACCTCCTCTCTGCCTTTCACCCCACCTACTCATCCACTTCCACCTCCACTCCCACATCCACATCTACCTCCGTCACCTTTGTGGTAGCGGTCTCGTCTCGTAGTTTTGCTGACCCGCGTTCGAATCCCGCTCCGCCAGTGGATGGTCACCCCAGCCACTCCTTACACACATAATTAGAAGCAAACCGATAGCCTATCACACCAAACGTAGGAATAATAATTTTAACAGATGGAATTACCTAAATTATTATTATTATTATTATTGTTTTGTTATTGTTATTAGTATTATTTTGTTAATATTAGTATTATTTTGTTATTATTAGTATTATTGTTTTATTATTATTTTGCAATTATTATTGTTTTATTATTATTTTGTTATTATTGTTTTATTATCATTTTGTTATTATCATTGTTTTATTATTATTTGGGTTTTATTATTGTTTTATTATTATTTTGTTATTATTATTATGGTTATTATTATTGTTATTATTATTAGTTATTATTATTAGTTATTGTTATTTGTTATTATTATTATTATTATTATTATTATTATTATTATTGTTGTGATTATTATTATTATTATCATTATTATTATTATTACTGTTATTATTGTTATTATATCCGTCCCCCAGGTACGGTTGAGGGCGTGATCTTCATGGAGAATATCCTGGAGCACGTAGCCCAAGGAATGGGCATGGATCCTCTGGAGCTGAGGAAGAAGAACCTGATGCCCGACGGAGGGACGCGCCCGCTCAACGAGGCCATGATTCGCCTCAGGTCACTCATTGCAGGCAAGGGTAAGCGTTGCTGGATATTTTTTCTTAAGTCTCCCCTGTACGTTTTGCCGTTTTCTTTTATTTGTTTTTCGATTCTTGGTTTTCTTTTTCTGTCTTTTTTTTTGTCATAGTTTTTCTTTTTAATGTCTGGCATAATAGACATCTGATATAAATTTTAATAGTAAAACGATAATAATGATGGTGATACTAATGATACGTAATAAATAGCAATAAATCACTAAACAAAAATAACGCACATTATACACACACACACACACACACACACACCCACACACACACACACACACACACACCCACACACACACACACACACACACCCACACACACACACACACACACACCCACACACACACACACACACACACACACACATAGATTTTTCTTTTTAATGAAACCCGTTTTGAAAACAACCCCTAAACCCATCTTTCCTTTTCATTCCAGAAGCAAAATGGCTTCCGGATCACCTGACTGTCCCCAAGAACCTTATTTCGGACATGTTAACCCAGCTCATGGCCTCAGCTGACGTCGACGCACGAAAGAAAACGGTCGCCGATTTTAACAAGGTGTGTGGGAGAGGGGGTTGTGTGTGTGTGTGTGTGTGTGTGTGTATATGTATGTATATATGTGTGTGTGTGTGTATATGTATGTATATATGTGTGTGTGTGTGTATATGTATGTATATATGTGTGTGTGTGTGTATATGTATGTATGTATGTGTGTGTGTGTGTGTGTTTGTGCGTGCGTGCGTGCGTGCGTGCGTTAAGTGTGAATAAACATAAAACGAATTTCTGTATATGTAATTTTATGTGTGCGTGTGTAAGAGAGAGAAGAAAGATAGATGGATAGATAGATATATCACAGATTTATCCCGAAAAGAACATAATCCCGCCATTTTCCTTTCTCTCAGGCCAACCTATGGAAGAAGCGCGGGCTGTCAGTGATGCCTATGCTGTGGCCTTACGCAGTGCCCATGAAAGCGCCATTCAATGCCATGGTGTCTGTCAACGCCCGGGATGGCACTGTGCTGGTTTCCCACGGTGGCACTGAGATGGGACAGGGCATAAACACCAAGGTGAGGGAATGGGCAGTCAATTCTGGCAGAATTAATGAGAGGCAAGAGAAATAATACCAAGTAGTAGATATATGCTTCATGTTGTGCTTTAGGATACTGTCAAATTGAAGAGATAGTCTGTGTGAATATATGTTTTAGATACTGCAATGTTAGAAAGGGTTAGATTTTTTTTGATATTCCTATTTGTTATTCAGCAGCAGCAGCAGTGGTAGTAGTAGTAGTAGTAGTAGTAGTAGTATCATTACTACTATTATTGTTATTGTGAATATTGCATGGTGACATAAGTATATGCAAATTAAACTCTAAAAGAACGATATTGTTTTCAAAGATACTTTTGGTATTAGGTGTGTCTGATTAAAAACAATCAGACATTTTGTTCGAAAGTAATGTTATTTTTAAGGAGGCATGGTTAACGAAGGAACAGGCTAACTATCCATTTTTTCATTCCTCACTCATCCCATACTCTTGTCCCATTCATTCCTCACTCATCCACTACTCGTGCCTCATTCATTCCCCACTCATCCCATACTCATGCCTCATTCATTCTTCACTCATCCCCTACTTGTGCCTCATTCATTCCCCACTCATCCCCTACGTGTGCCTCATTCATTCCCTACTCATTCCTCCCCCATGGCTTCTCCCCCAGGTCGCCCAGTGCGCCGCGTACGAGCTGGGCGTCCCCCTCGACACGGTGGCTGCGCGCCCCTCCAATACCCACGTCAATGCCAACTCGGATGTCACAGGGGGCTCCATGGGGTCAGATGTGGCTTCCTATGTACGTATGGGTAAACGTGGGTAGAACTGTGCGAGGCCAATGGATCCTTTATATATGCGGATGTGCATGTTTACGGAAATACATGCGTATCTGTCTGTCTGTCTGTCGGAGTGATATTTATATTTATATATCTGGTAGATATGCATGATCTTAAGAACACACACACACACACACACACACA